ATATATATATATATATATAGCAGTTAAGTAAATTTATTTTCTTCTTAAAAGACAAAAATGGGTACTCTTATTGTGTTGACTGTGATGTGGCTACAGTAAAAAGACTTCTTTTCCTCCAACACCAGGAAATGTGGGGTGGCAGGAAATTACATGGAACTGAGAGTCAGGGGACCTTCTTTCTAGTCCCTTCTGTGTCTCTAAGTTGTTGGGCAGATAGTCACTTAAGCAGGCTCCTCTTTCCCATCTGTCCATTGAGGGATTGGGAGCCTGTGGTTTTATTGTCCGCATATGAACCAAAACCCCTTTGAAATTTGGGTCCGTTGTGGACCTCTCCTTAAGAAAATGCACGTGCGCTTGTGCACACACACACACACATTTCTACACAGAATTTCAAAACTGATGACACGCATCCAAAGCCCCCTGAGGGCCCAGGTTAAGCCTGCCTGGGTAGACGGCTCTAAGATGCCTTCCTACTTTACAGTTGCGATGCTGGGGCCAGAAAATGGACTTCTATCAGAGCGCAGGCCTCCCGAGTCCTTGTTCTCTGCCCAGTAAACGTTTCTTTAAACTCGCCAAATGAATCATGAAAAGGAGCTCAAAAGACGATGAGGAAATGGTAACAGCCATGAGAACGTTGATATAGCCAATTTCTGAGTTTCTGGAAGAACACGGGTCAGGAGCGACAGTTTAAAACCTCTGTGCTTCACTACAATCACCTAAAAGCCAAATGGCCTGGAGCCCATGGGAAGACTTCCACAGGACTAATCTAGGCGCTGTTAGCTGATCTTGGTGACAGGGTGTGTGGGCCACATTTGTAGCAAGATATGTGTGAGCTCTGCCCGTGTCAATCACCGCAGGAGGGGTCACTGGGATCAGGCCGGTGTCTGCCAAGGCCACGCTGGCCGCCTGCATGGAAGGCCTGGAGGGGGAGGTGACAAGGAAGGACACACATGACAGGCCAGGATTTAAGGTCAATTCCTCCACAGCCATGCTGTTTAGGGGTCTTTTTATTTTTCCCTGATGTGGGAATGTGCGTTATAATATATAAAATATGCCCTCTTTATGACAGTTATTCAAGAAGTTCCTTCATAAAAAGATTAAAGGTGACCCAGAAGATGCAGGACAGACAGCCATTGTAGCAATAAGCATTGTGGCAAAGGCATTTTAATGCCATCATGTCTTTAGCTGGGTGGGTGGGGAGCAGAGGGCGAAGCCTGCTGTCAGCGGTAGGTGGAACCCACCTGGTCCCGCCAAAGGTTTGGCTGATCCCCACCCACCAGTGGCTTATCGAGTCAATTAGAGAGGCTCCCGTGTTGATGAACTTTGACTCCTTTCTGGCTAATTTTTCTCTCGCTACACTTTCCTCGCTGGCCAGCTGTCCCCGTAGTCACAAGGAGTGCTGGGCAGAAGCTTGCTGATGGAGAGTGTAAATCCATCCCAGCCACAGGGAAAAGCTCAAAGCAGACGATGGGTGGGTGGGTGGGCGGGTCAGGAGCCACAGCATAAGTGAGGAGCACACAGCACAGACCATGAGGAGGGAGGAGATGGGGGTCTTTGCAGCTATTGGCTCTATAAAAGCTCATGAAAATCATGTTCACCTTCTGTTGAATGACAGTCTCTGCACCCCCTCCACCCGCCTTCACACAAAGCTATGCGACACTCAATAGCTCCATGGGCCTTGGAGACCAAGGCTCTAACTCCCCTACCTTGAGTACATTCACATCATTTCATGGAATTCTTACCTCCCGCACACGAGAACTCGGACCAAGAGAGGTTCAGAAATGCATTTGAGATCAACACTCTAAAAGCAAGCTGAAATTCACACCAAGTTCTAATGGCACAAAGACCATGATTCTCAAAATGTGGGTGCCCGACCTTCAACATCATCTGGGGACTTCTCAGAGCGGCTAATTGTACGCTCCCTCCGACCTGCTGCATGAGGGACTCTGAGAGTGGGGTCCAGCCATTAGCCTGTGTCATGTTACATCCATTCAGTGAGCAAATATTGATTGAGCCCCTGCTACATGCTGAGCCAGGCAAGCGAGACAGACATGATCCCTGTCCTCACCCTGCTAACAGCCTTTGGGGGAAAATGACAAACAACTCATTAAAATAAGCACTTTTTAGGGGGAAGTACAAGGTGGTGGGAATGCATCGCCAGGGTGCTTTCAGGGGGTGTCAAAGAAAGCTTTCGGGAAGAAAGTACGTTTTGAGGGGACAACATCTCTTGCAGATACAGCCTAAAGTTCTTCAAAAACCAAAATGGATAAAAATTTAAGGCACCATACCTTGAATTTTGAGAAAGGCTCCTTTCCTGCAAATATGGAAACAGCTAAACACACACACACACACACACACACACACACACACACACACACGTCCCTCTCCCTCCTGATCTTGAAGAAGAGAGTAAATTAAGACTGGACAAGCCATCCCAGAAGCCTGACCCCTTCCCCAGGCCATCACTTGGTGCCTGCCACTCCAAACAAGTGGATAACTGGAGGCTATTTTGTGATAGCGACTGGGCAAACAAACTTGTGGAGACAAGCACAGTGTTATCCAAAGCTCATTCCACAGGCCTCAGGCAGTAGGATCCCTCAGGGTAAAAAAATAAAAATACTAAAAAAGGTGCCAGTGTAGAGGGAAGAACCAAGGCATTGGGGACAGGGGAGGGACATGGAAAAATTGAACTCTGTCAGCAATTTCCTTTTTTTTTTTTTTAATCAGAAAAGGTAGCAAGAAAAAGAAAGGAGTCAGTTGGACTTTTTAGTAGAGTCTTGTCAACAGGAAAGACAAAGCGAAATTGTGTTTGCCTGAAGGGCTTTCATAACGGAAATGTGGTAAATAATTGACGACCAAGGGCTGAGGCAATGGCTTGCTTCAAGATTGTCTACTGTTCTCCGCTGCTCCGCGTTACACTTAGAGTCTAGTTTCTGCGGTCCGTCTCATCTAACCCTGCACTCACGTGAGATTTCCAGTTGATTTGCTGAAAAGGGTGACCGAAGTGTTTTTCTTCACAGAGCCAAGCTTTGACCTGCTGCCCTGACAGCAGCCCTGCTCCCCGGGCTTCTTGCCCCGGAGCAGGGCCAGGGCCTGCAGTGGCTCACGGGTGTGGGGTCTCTGGGCACCTGTGCCAGGCTCTGCCCCCGAGGAAGATAAATGCTGGAGCACAGGACGCCGCTGCCTCTATCTCCACTGAGGCAGGCCCGGCCGACAGCACCTGGCTCCTGTCACATCTGCTTACAGGAGACCCCGTTTACGAAAAGTCTTCAACGTTAAGAGAAGAAATCCATTAACGTGTTGTGTATTCGTGTTGCCATGTGTTTCTTTGGGATGGAGAAATAAGCGTGGACAAAGGGGTGAGGACGGAATCCAGAAGGGAGGGGTGAGTTTTTTAAAAATTGTACGTAGGCTAGGTCTCCAGTAGTTCAGAGTAAGTAGTTCAGAAAAAGAATACAAAATTGATCACGGGTTTCCAAAGCCAAAGTTCCACCTTATTTTTCAAAGTGGCAACATGAGAGTAAATTTCAGTTCAACAAATTACGTTCTGAATGCTTATTCTGCAGAAAACACAACAAATGTTTGTAGAAAAAGCTGTTGAAAATTATGCAATTAAATGTTAACCTTGGTCACCGAGGAGATTAAATTTTCTTCATATATATTTTTGTTACTTGCCATGTGTTGCTTTTTCTTTTTCTTTATTTATTGAGATCTAGTTGACATATAACAATGTATTCGTTTTATTTGTACAACAGTACAAATTGTTTTATTTGTAACAGTAAAACCTTGATATCACGGACTAATTTGGTAGATTTTCTGAATATATTATGTTAAAAAATCGACAAATTAGTTAACCTGCTTTTACTTACATAGACAATTAAAATTAAGTGTGTATGAAAAGTTTACTTTCACAAAAAAGCTTTCTATATGCATTACATCACTTTAAATGTCTACTGAGTAGGTCTAGTAAATGCGTGCATTCACCAGTCACGAGTAAACAAGTGCACACGCTGGGGTTGGCTTAGAGCAGGTGGGACATGGCCTGCACGTGTTAAAACTGCCCCAGAAAGTCACACCACATGACAACGGAACCAAGGACAGTGCCTGGTGCGGTGTGATCACGTGCTAATCACTTGGTAAACATTGTTTACCAACAATGACTCTTGGATTTAAATATGTAGACAATGATTGCAAGCATGCAATATTTATTTATGTCGGGAAAATCATGACAGTGTTTTTTCCCAACATATGGCCTATTCACTAAAATGTGTTTAAAATATAACAGTGACCCTAGCTGGTTTGGCTCAATGGATAGAGCGTCAGCCTGCGGACTGAAGGGTCCCAGGTTCGATTCCGGCCCAGGGTACATGCCTGGGTTGCAGACTCGATCCCCAGTAGGGGACATGCAAGAGGTAGCCAATCAATGATTGTCTCTCATCATTGATGTTTCTATCTCGCTCTCCCTCTCCCTTCCTCTCTGAAATCAATAAAATATATTTTTTAAAAATACAATATAATGACAAAAAAATAACCTGTGGCCTTAATGATCAGCAAATCTTGGTTACACGTAAGCATTTTAAAATGAAAGGTGCGAATTTTCACATATGACAGACAGGCGGGAAATGTGGTCCGCTGCACCCGAAGCCCGGCACGGTCTGCAAAATCGAGGGTATTTCGAAACCATGTTACTTTTGTACATTTACAAAGCGTGCTTAGCAATGACGAACTTAACGATGGTGCCATGCTCTCTAGGTTGCCGAAGAAGACAAAGAGGAGAGCGAGGAAGAGCTGATTTTTACTGAAAGTAACAGCGAGGTGTCCGAGGAGGTGTACACCGAAGAGGAGGAGGCGGAGGAGGAGGAGGAGGGAGAGGAGGAGGAAGAAGAGGAGGAAGAGGAGGACGACAGCCACGAAGAGGAGAGCGCCGTTGAAGACGAGGAAGCCATCAACGGCACGGCCCGCCCCGAGCGCGCCAGTCCCGACAGCGCCCGGCCGAAGACATTTAAGAGTCAGTTATAGA